AGGTTTTCAAGGGCAGCAATACAGTAACAACAGCAAGTGGGACTGGTGGCCTGCCCCACCCCTAGAAGGCCTCATCCTCCAAGCTCCCTCTCCCAAGAGTACAGTTAGGTGCCTGTAGGTGGCTGTCTCCCATGATTGCTCCAGTTCTCACAGCTGCTGACCTGCAAGTCTCTCCTACTTTAATCTCCTGTTTAAACCCAACTCATTCTCCCCTGCTCTGCTCCCAGTCAAGTTGAAGAAACACAAGTACATCCAAAGCAACTTCTCAATCTCTCAGCCTTGCCCAGACACAATTTATACTCTGCTCTCCGAGTAACACCCTGACTTCCTGCCACCACACCCCCATCATCATCTTCTATTAGCAAGATCACACTTTGCAGGCGGGTTTCAGTCTTTTATCCACTAACCTTCTTCAGTGGTTTGGCAATCCCTAAGGATCCCTCCTCAGAAAGTTTAGATACAGGAAATAAAATTCCTAAGAAGGGCAGACATTTAGCCTAGCAATTAAGATGCCAGGGGGCCTTAGCTCAATTACCTGGTTATATATATACACATACATATATATTTACCTCATATATGTGTGTGTACATTTAAGGTTTGCAGGTTCATTTGAGACAGTAGTACTCAAGACAGATCAAGTCATTGGGTATCTACATTCCATATGGGAGACCAAGACTAAGCTCCCAGTTCCCAGCTTCAGCTAGCTCAGTCCAGGCCTGTGGGCTTTTGAGGGAGTGTGTACCAGTATGTAGGCACACACACTATTTCTTTCTACCTGTCAAAACAAAAACACACAAGAGGGGCTGCTGTTGTGCATAAGTTGGTTAGGCTACCACTTGTGACACAGGTATCCCAGATCAGAGGGCCGACTAAAGCCCTCCAGTCCAGCTTCATACTCTGGCACTGAGGAAGTCAGTAGAAGACAGCTTAAGTACTTGGGCCCCTCCACCCATGCGAAAGACCAGGATGGAGACTTCTGGCTCCTGCCTTGGGCCTGATCCAGCCCTGGCTGCTATGGATATTTGGGGAATAAACCAGTGGGTTGAAGATCTCTCTCTGTCTTCCTCCCCCCTCTGTTATTCTGTCTTTCAAACCAATTAATCTTATAAAACAAACAAGGCAGGCATTTGGCGTGGTTGTTAAGGTGCCTCTTAAAATGCTTGCATCCTACATTGAAGTACCTGGTCTCAAGTCCTGGCTATTCCACTTTCGATAGGGCTTCTGCTAAGGTGAATCCTGAAAGGGCAGTAGATGATGGCTCACATACTTGGATCCCACTACTCATGTGGGAGACTCATTGAGTTTCAGGTTCCAGCCCTGTTATAGTCATTTGAGAAGTGAAAAAGGTAGGTGGAAGAATCTCTTCCTCTCTCTCTGCCTTTCAAATAGAGAAAAGCTACTTTAAAAACAATAGAAACAGATATTAAAAGTTATCAAAATGTTAAGACAATCAAGAGTATTGTATAATATTATACATAATAAGCTGCAGCTGGAGATCTAATTACTACCTTAACCTCAAAGCAGCAATGAGCATAAATGATTTTCAAGGCACCTGCATCAACTGTAGTATATTAGGGAAAAACTTGCTAATGCTGCCAGGGATTGCTGTCAGCACTTACAAGAAACACTATATTTTAGCCACAGTTGGCAAAAATAACAACATACTCTCTTTCTCCCCCAACCTTAGGAAGACTTCCCCTGGCAAATGTTTCAAAGCAAGAGAAAACATTTTTTCTTTCTTTTCTTTTTCTTTAATTTTACAGAATGAAGGAGGGATGTTAGATACTGAGAGAAAGGAGATGAACATGAGTTTTCCGCAGAGGCTGGGCTGAGGTATAAATCGAACAGCAAGGGGTACATGGCTGTGCCTGGAGAGTCCATGACCAGTGCCTTGATTTCCATAAACCCCCAGGTCCTACTGTCAGACACTCCCTCTCTCCGCCTACCTTTTTTGGTTTTAGTGTCCTTAAATTTCGGCATGCTCCCTTTCCCATCTTTACAACAGCTTTCAAAGAATGTGAACATTTTAACAAATTTCTGAAAGTTGCATAGTTTTTTTCATAATATGTATTTTCTATAAGCTTTCTATTCAGCATCTCCTGGACCTCTGCCCCAAGCATTAAGTTTCCTGTAACCATAAGACAGACAGACAGACAGACAGACACACACACACACACACACACACACACAGCTAGTACAGTGGCTCAATGGCTAATATTCCACCCTGTGGTACCAGCATCCCATATATGCGCAGGTTTGTCCCAGCTGCACCACTTCCAATCCAGCTCTCTGCTTTTGGCCTAGGAAAGCAGTGGAGAATGAATCAAGTCCTTAGAACCCTGCACTTATGCAGGAGCAGAGAGATTGCTGATTCAGCTCTAAGTGTTGCGGCCACATGGGGGGATTGAACCAGCAGATGGAAGACCTTCTCTATATCTCCTTTTCCCTACAAACCTACATTTCAAATAAAAATAAATATTTAAACAAAAAGAAAAAAATGCTAAAAACAAACAGAAAAGCCAGGCACCGTGGCAGGTGGTTGGCACAGTGGTTAAGACACTGCAGCCTGGGACTCCCATATGCCATCTGAGCATGCCCAGGTTGGAGCTCTGGCTCTGGGTCCTGGCTCCAGTCTTCTGCCTTGGTTAGTAGTGGGGGTGCAGCTCAAGCACTGCGGTTCAGGCTGGAGTTCCCAGCTCCTGGCTTCCACCTGGCATAGTCCCAGTTCTTGTGGGTACTTGGGAGAATGGGTACCAAGGGATGGGAGATCTCGGTCTCTATGTTCTCAAAGAATTATTAAAAATATTCAAAAAAGTGTTGGGTAGAGTCCAGTTTTTACACGCCTTCTCTAGGTGTGAGGGTTGGTAAGCGGATCCCCGCCCTTGGTTTTCTCCCTCTTGATCTTCCACATGTGGGGTCTCTTCTTTCCCTCACATAGTACGACTTCGGTCAGGGATTGTGGGGAGATGATCAGGTGGAAAGAGTCAATTAAAAAAATTTTATTTGAAGGACAGAATGAAGACAGAAAGATAAGACAAACAAGATCTTCCATCAATTGCTTCACTCCCCCAGATCTTCATCCAGGCTGCCTCTATGGGTGGCAGGGGTCTAAGCAGGCCATCTTCTCTGCATTCTGACACATTGCCAGGAAGCTAGATTGAAAGCAAAGCAGCTCTGACTGGAACTCCCATTCCAAAAGGGGTTTCCCAACAAAGGGTCCAAGAGATTGAATTTTTGATTCAAACTGAGCCTGAGGCCCAGCTTTTGGGGTGAAAGCTTTTCAAGCATGTGCCAGTCTAACGGACAGACTCAGAGATTCTAACCCTCTCTACCCGCTTCAGCAGCCAGTCCTACCTGCTTCGCACACAGGCTGAAAAGCAGTAGAGGGAGGTCACACTTGAAGAGCTCCTATCGCCTCTCTGACAACACAGTCCCTTCCACAGAGCCCAGGGCGGGGGAGGGGGGCAGGCGCTACCCGACGCGGCAGCTAGAAAACACTGAGCCCCCTCCGAAGGGTTCCCAACGCGCAAGCTAACAGCAAGCTGAGGGCAGATCCAGTCTCGGCCCCTCACCTCTGCCACCCCACCCTTGGAGCGGCAGTCTCTGAGCCCCAAGGCATACATCCTAGTGTAACATTTTGCAACTGGAGCCTCACACTCCACAGCCGGATTTCCCAACCTGTAAGAAGCGGCGCCTGCAGGGCGGGCCGTGCCAGGAAGGCTCAGCAAGCCCCAGCTTGCTCGGAATTAACGGGTCTGACTGAACCCTGAGAAAAGGGCCCACGTCCCGGCCCCTCCCCCACAGGCACCTGCCGCTAGGGCTGCGCGCCCAGGAAGTCAAGCCCGACCTGCCCAGTTCTGGTCACTACTGACTCGTCGCCGCTCCCCTCCCCCGAGCCCACGGCTTCCAGGGCGGGACTCCCGTAAAGCCCACCGCGGAGCCTAAGGGAGGCCGTGCCTGAGGAAAAGGAGGCGGAGAAAAGAGGAAATAAATACGGGAAAACACGCAGCGGGCGGGCGGGGCAGCCTCCAGTGGGCGTCTGAGGGGCGCGGGGGGCTCTCCGGCCGGAGGATGAAGGGAAGCTCCCTTCTAGAAGGGTCTCAGGTGCGGCCGGCGTCCAGCGCAGCGCAGCGAGCTCGAGCCCAGCCCGCAGCGCCCCCACCCCTCCCCGCGGCCCTCCTCGGCACCGGGCGCCCCTCACCTGAAACCACCAGCGCCTCGTTGGGCCCCACCGTGTGGCAGTTGCCCATGGCGCGGGCGGGACGCAGGGCCCTGGGCCCGGCTCCGACGCGGACAGCAGCAGCGGGTCTGCAGCGCCCGGCCGCACCCAGCCTACGCCGCCACCCCCAGCACCGCCCGCTCGCGGCGCCCCTCCGTGGTCGCAGCCCCGCCGGAAGTGTGGCGCCGGAGGGCGGGGCCGGCCGGCCGAGAGAGGCAGGGACGAGCGCGAGCGTCGCGGCCAGCACGCTTTATTGCTTGGGACTCCGTGGCGATGGCGCTAGGTCGCTGCCTAATCGCACTCCGCGCCTACAGATTTCTTGGGGAATCACTGCCCAGAGAGCCGGTCAGTCGACGAAGCCCCGGGTTCGAAGCCCAGCGCCTGCTCTCAGCTGGCTGTGAGACCTGGAGCGGGAGTCCCATCCGGCCTCCAGAGAAGTGGAAGGTAGCTGAGCCAGCTAGCTGGTCTGCTGAAAGGGCTCTGTTATTGTCAGTGTCAGCAGGGCCACCCTGGCCCTGCTCCAGCTTCCAGCACAATCACTGAGGGTGGGGACTGGCAAACTGCCATTCAGGGTTAGCAGGCCTCCCACTCAGTCTGGGGTCCCTCTGTGGAAGAAATGTCAAATGGCACCCATTACTTGGAACAGAGCCATCTGGGACACACCTGGAGGACCCCACAAAGCAACCTTGGTGGCAAAGCCCTCAGTGCCTAGGGTCCATGTGGGTCTAGCTTTGGTGGGCAAAGGCCACCAAGTGCTATGGGAAGCATCCCAGCCTGGAGCCTAGAGGTCTTGGGACTGAGGTTCAGCTTTAACCGGAATTCGCTGGGTCACCTTAGCCCAGTCTGGTGAGCTCTTAGGGCTCGGGGAGGGTTCAGAACTGGTGGCCTCTTCTGTGTGGGGGCTGTTCCGAGATGATTGGGCCCCTGGGTCTTCAGACTGAGGCTCTTCTTGAGGTTCTTCATCCTCATCCCCAGGCCCAAGCCCTGCCAATCTTTTGCTGGCCTCCCACAGCCGGTGGGCTGCCCGGTCATCTCGGGCAGCTGGGGAGACCTCCTCCACGTGGCAGTTGGCAAAATATCTCCCAGTGAGGGGCTCAAGGCCCTCTTGCAGAGCACAGTACAGGGGAGTCTGAGCACCCCCTTTTGGTGCTCGGAGCACCAACCAAGCCACTGGACGCAAAAGTGGGCGCAGCCATCCAGGGACATGGCGCAAGAACAGGTCTGAGTTCACAGGGCCTGTGGGCAGGAAGAAAGACAGGAGTTGTCAGGATAAGGGTCAAAGGGACTGGGTGGGGAGTAGAGGACACAACTTTTTCTAGAGCAATATCCACCCCAGGCATGCAGGGTCCCTAAACCTAACATCACTCATTGCTAAAGGAAGCCTCCTTCCTTCAGGAAAACTGCTTGTCCATCCAGCTCTCCCAGATTTGCGTCATGCTGGGTCCCTGCTTCCATGGTTTTGTTTCTTTCCATATTTTCTTTTAGCTTGAGCCCTGTTCCTTTGTGTAAACAACATTTGTGAAGGTATAGCAACCACTGTTTGGACATTAGGAATGTGGACTTGTATTAAGGCCTAATGTTGCTGGCATCTTGTAATGAGCATTACACAGTGATTTCCTAAAATGCAGGAATGCTAACTCATATGGGTAGGGCAGATCTCATACAACCTGTAAGGAGTTATTCGAATATCCCACCCTGGACCCGGCGCCATTTCTTCTTCCTCACAGCTCAGGAAATTCGGCCAGTCCAGCCATCCACCAATCAGATGTAACCTGAGAATTCCACCTGAGAATCCCAACCCCAATCTTCCAGTCCCTTCCCCAACCCCGCCCACTCACCAATCATCCCTAGGCATTCAACTGCACTTGCCAATCCCCTGGGGCCTGCCCTCAATCCATCCCAAGCCCCACCCCCCACACCTGGCAGACAAAAAGGCCCCCAGGTACGGCTCCCTCTTCTTTGCTCTTCCCCTCTCTCCTCCTTCTGGCCTCCCTTCCCCCCTTCTCCTTTTCCTGCCCCGCTGGAATAAACCTCCTAAGATACCTAGTTGCGTCTGGTGTTTTCAGCTCATGGTAAAGAACCAGGTTGTGGGAATTAGCTGCGCGTAAAGTATCGTAATATTGTATGAACTAGATCTAGTACTCTAACCCTTTTTAAATAACTAACACAACCTATTTCCTAAAGGCAAAGAAGAGTCAGAGCACCAATGGTTTACTCAAAGAGTAAATACCACAATGCCTACAGCGGACTGCCAGCCCCTCATGACCCAGTCCCTCTCTGCAACACTATCTCTTGCCATTTTTCCCTTCTCTTTATCCACACAAGCCTCCCCTGAGAACACCAGAAACTTCTGCCCATAGAGCCTTTGCATTTACTCTTTATACTCAGCAAATGCTTCCTGAATGAATGTATGATTATTAGCTATCATTATCATCATCGTTATCATGTTCTTCCGGGGGAGAGCCTGGATCTGCATCTCATGGGAACCTGCCTTATACTCTACCGAAGCTGTGGTGTGAGAGGAAGAATTGGAAGACGATCTGACTGTAAGACCATCCCTCCCTGGACAGGGTCTTTTCTGCTCGAGATTCTGTGCCTTAGTGAGAGGAAGGGGGAAGCACAGGATGGGGCAAGGATAGGAGAGGGAGAGTCAGAAACAGCCAAAAAACCTGGCCTTACCTGGGTGAGCTGCATAGCAGGTGACACCAGTGCCCTCAAGCTGGTTGGCAAGCTCCCGGGCAAACAACACATTGGCCAGCTTACTGTCGGCGTATGCCCGCAGCTCCTGCTGCCAGCCTACAACGGGACGGTCCAGGCAGGTGAAGTCAAGACGTCCACGTCGGTGGGCAGCCGAGGATACTACCACCACACGGCTGGGTGCACATGTCTTCAGCCGGGGCAGCAGCAGGTGTGTCAGCAGGAAGGGGCCCACGTGGTTCACCCGCAGCAGCAGATTGAAGGTCTCCCGAGTCCGGCCACAGGAGCTGATCCCTGGGAGAGGAGCTGGCTGTGAGCTGCTCCACAAACAGCCATCAGTTTACCCACAGATCCCCAGAACGAACTGGCTGGGGGAGACAGTTGTCCTTGGTCATTCCCCACATCCCCCACAGGGATTGCTGCTCCTCACCGGCATTGTGGATGAGGATGTCCAGCCGTGGCTCTGAGCTCAGGAACGCAGTGGCAAAGGCCCGCACTGAGGCCAGACTGGCCAAGTCCAGGGCCATGAAGATAATCTCGTTGTTCCCACTCTCCTGTGGAGGACACAGGCTGGTTTGTCACCATGCAAATTCCCTCTTCTTCTTTCTCTCCAGGCCCCAAATTCTGAGTCTCCCTCCAAATATTAACATAGGCCCTAAGGGCATTAATGTAGTGGAAAAGCGTGTGGATTTAAATCCTGACGTTGCCTCTTAGATTGCAAACTAGGGCCAAGAAAGTTAGTCTCTGTGGGCCTCAGTTCTCTCACTGTAAAATGGTAATAATAATATTTAATAAAACTGAAAGGATTAAAAAGCTGATGTATGTAAGATACATGCAATGAGCATTATGTTGGAACTTGCCATTATTATTATTGTCATCCCCTTTCGCTATTGCTATTCACCCTGAAATCTGTAGCAGATTCTTACTGGTCTTCTCTTACCTTCTGACCCCTCCAGTCCAGGCATCACATAACTACCAAGGGGGTTTATTCCAAGAGGCCAATCTGACAGTCCAGGGCATGCCAGGGACCCGCTGCTGATCTTGCTGCCCACCTTTAAAATCCAAACTCTTCCCAGGATCTCTCAAGCCCTCCAGAAGTGGCCTTGGCTCACCCTTCCAGCCTCTTCATTCTGCTTCTCTGCCTCCTACTTCTTGTTTCTGCCTTGATAACTCCCCTCTCAGCCCCCAGTTTTTCTAATCAGGTCAGCTGTGCTGCCTCTGGGTCTTTGCATGTGCCATTCCCTCAGCAGTTCCCTTCCTTTTGTTTGCCTTAACTCCTACTGAGCCTTTGACGTCATAACTGCAGTTACTGCCTTCAGTCTTCTCCGCAGCTTGGCTCTGGCTCCCCTTCCTCGTGCAGAGCCCTTTGCACCCCGTCTTCTGGGTTTAAAGAGCTCCATTCGCCTCACCTGGATATTAAGACTGTGTCCCGATGTGGCCTGGGCTCACGGGCACCCCATCCCTCCCCCGCCGCCGCCTTCCCTCACCTGGCGGAGGTCGAAGGCGGCCGCCTCCCCGCGTTCCCGGCTGCGGCAGGCCAGCACCACGCGCGCTCCCCTGCGCGCCAGCTCCAGCGCTGTCATCTTCCCGATGCCGCTGTTGGCGCCTGTGGATGACGGGCTAGAGCTGAGCTGAGTCGGGTGGGCCGCTGCCCCCAGCCACCCTGACCGCCCCCGCAGCCCTCACCGGTCACCACGGCGGTGCGGCCCCGCAGGCTGCCGATGCCGCCGCACGGCGGAGCCTTTACCAGGTTGTAATAGATTAGCACGTAGGCGCCCAACAGCAAACCGGCGCCCAGCAACAGCGCCTCCATGCCGGCGGCGCTTCCTGGCTCCCGCCCGTGGCCCGCGCGGTCCTGGATCGTCGCCCAGAGGCTGCCGATCAGCCCGTTCGGGCCTGGAAAGTCAGGCGCGCCTGGGCCTTCCGAAGGCGGAGGTAGGCAGGAGTGTTTGTGTGTGCGTGCGTGTGCGTGGGTGCCCTGTGAGCGCCCCCTAGGCGTGCGGCCGCGTGGACCCTTTCAAGTGTGTGTGCTCATCACGGCCACCCCGGGAGGGCGCGCTAGGTCCTACGTGTCTGCGAGAAACCTCTGGGTGTGAATGACTTCCAGGTGTGGGTGTGTCCTCGGGCCCCAAGACACACTGCAGGCTGGTAATTCTGTGCTTGGGAGGTGAGGGAAGCCCTTTCAGGCGTAGGCGTGCTGTGTAGTCATCCCAGCGCCTTTGCTATTCTGGCCGAGAAACTTCTGGAGATGTGCGTGCATGTTCCTGTGTCTCTTCAAATATCACCAGTGCAGGTGCCATTTTTCTTAACACTTTAAAATAATGTATTTGAAGGGCAGGGAGAGGCCGTGAAAAAAGGTTTTGAGTTGCACAGTGGACTCAGGATTTAAATTTTATTTGCTATATAGCTTTCTCTGGAGAAGAAACTCAATTTCTTATCCTCACATCTAACCCTCAGCTTTTGATTCCCAGTTCTCCCCATACAGGCCAGAGGTGACTCTGTGCTCACAGTGGTATTGGCAGTTAACGACTATGAGGAATGGAAGGTTCACTCATTCCTTCTTTCCACTAGCCAGGTTCTGAGGGGAAACAGGAAGAAGTCTTTGTCTTTCAGGAGTGGAAAACAGGGAGATCCCATCACAATGGAAGAAACAACTATGATGCTGAGGAGGCATTCCTGACCAGGTGGGAGGAAATCACTGCTGCAGAAGTCATGATCCAGGACAGTTTCACAGCCAGTTGTTGCACTTTAGTTAGCCTCAGGAATACTGGGCATATGTGTATTTCTGCTGTTACCAGAAGCCCATCAGGCAGAACAGAATGACTGAGGCCAGACTGTCGGAGGAGTGGATGGAAGCTGGACAGCCCCAGTTCCAGGGTATGTTACCCCACTTAGCTGCACTCAGGGTTCAATTGTAGGTGCTGTGGGAAAAGGCCAGGGATAAACTGTTTCTTCTGTGTCACCAAGGCAAAATCCTGATACCCCAAGTATACCTGCTCACCCGAGGTTGTTCTGAGGAGACTGTCCTTAGGAAAAACTCCTGGGGAAGATTCTCAGGCCTGGGGGAGGGAAGGATGGAGGCTGGTTGATGAGGACTTCAGAATTAAGGTGAAACAGCAGACTCGGCTTCTGAAGAGGAACTGCCACTGTAGAGGAGTCAACATTGCAAGTCACTTAACTATGAGCGGTGTGTTTCTAAGGACTGGAGGGCTCTCCAGAGGATACCCCAACCCCACATTGAGTAGATGCACCCTGTAATTTTCCACTGTTCTCCACCCAGCTCGAGCTTCTTTTCCCCAATGCCTTCCCTCACTCTCCAATTTCCCACAGGGATGGAGACCTGTTCTAACAGTCTCCCACCTGCTGGACCCACACTGAAAGGAGGGTCCTCTAGAGGTGATGACAGGTAGGACAGACAGGCAGAAAACATAATTTGAAATCTTTTTGTTTTTTTTTTATATACAGAATACAGGAAAGTTTCTGTAAAGTCTAAAACATTACAATTACTATGTACATTGGTACTAGTTGTGGGGGTGGGAAGAGAGGGAGCCAGGGGTTGGAGGAAGAGGAGAGAACAAAAAAAGGAGACAAAACAGATTTACGACAAAACATTTTTGCTACAATAGACAATTTGAAAACGCTCTACCACATGTAGTACTGTACACAGTTTTTAAAAACATTGAAAAATGTCATCACTAGATGTATTTACACAAAATCCAAATACTTTTCCTTATTTGAAATAAAATAGATGGACAGCCAGAAAAAGAATCCATTTCTCATTTGTCCATAATACACAGTAGCTACCTGTAGTGCAACCGCTGCAGAAAGGGAAGTAACTCGGAGGGTGGGAACTGTGGAAGAGGGGTGGGTAGCGCTTTATATTAAATAAAACAATGATATTGTATAGATTTTGCTGTATGAAAACTGTATTTTTTTCTTTTAATATAAAACTATTGTCACTGCCACAAAATAGAACAAGTTTCTGATTATTTTACAACGGCGGGCGAGGGGGAGGGAGCAGAAGGTGGGTGGGGAAGGGCTTTGTGTCGGAGGAAGTGTCCAGGCCACAGGTCTTCCCCTCCCTGCCCACACTGTTCCTCAGCTCGGGTCTGCCGCTTTCCCATGAAATGTTGAGTACAAATATATGTGCAAATGCCCCCTAGAACTTGAGAAAAGAGAAAGTTTTTTTTTTCCCCTTAAAAAACAGTCAAAAGGTTTTCTTCATTTCATGCAAAGATTGTAGTTGAAGGGTTTCTGGTAGAGTCTAAAAAACACCGGGCTTGGTTTGTGTACATTTTTGCATTGCAGGAGTCTTGGGTGGATAGGCCAGTGGCGGGGTGGCCACTGCCCTAGGGAACAGAGTTGGAGCGCAGCACAGGGCCCTGGTGAGGCTTGAGAGAGAGTTTCTCTGCTAAGACCCCATCCTGCAGGAGGCTGGCATCGCCTTTGGGCTGTTTGGTCGCAAATTCAGTGATGCTGAAGACGAACTGCAGGCAGCCCAGCTTGATGTAGCTGCCATGGTGCAGCAAGGCCGTGCCCTCCCAGCCGGCCCCACTGCCCCCAATCAAGCTTGAGCTGCTGGCTTTGCAATTGCAGGGCCTCCGCTGCGGCCCCTGTGCCTGGGAACTCATCATGGCTGCCTCCTCACTTGGCTCTTCATCCTGTTTCTGGTGCCGGCGGCGCCCTGGGAAAAATGGGGATGGTCACAGGAAAGGAAAAATGTACAGCCAACCCATCTGGGCTGCTGGCCAAGGTGGGGCCCCCGCATCTCCCCACTCCAACTGTTGCGTGACTAGGGGTGAGGGATGCTCAGAAAGAGTCTGAAGTTCCCAAATAGGGTTGTAAACAGATGTGGGTGGCTCAGCACTTGCTTCTCTGTAGCCTTCCCTGGACCCACAAGCAAGGAGAGCTTAGCCAACAGGATAGGGAAGGCAGTGAGTCACAAACACCCTGCCTTAGCTTTGGGGCCACAGGCCTTTGCTCCAACTTACTGATGACACTCTGCACTTTGGCAACAATACTGCTTGGGGGGGTTGGCGGGGTCTTCTCAGAGAAGTCACAGGAATACAGCACATTGTCCACCGTTGTCCCGTGCTCACTGTAGTTTAACAGCTCATAATGTTTGGTATTCTGAGGAGGAGGAGGGGAGATAAGATGTGTGGTCGGCTGCGTGGGGCCTGGGGTTAGGGGAAGAGAGGACATATGGAGAAGGCTGTGCTGCTCTACCTAGGGAGCTCTCCCTATCTGCCCTCATCAGGTCCCTAGACCTGTAAGAAGGGAGCTTGGGTTATACCTCCTTGGGGAACCCCTCCTTCCCACTGTACCGCACCCCTTTTCCCCTACTGATCAGTCTCTTTCTTCCTCAGCACTGGCTCCATTGAGACGATGCACACTGGCACACACCAGAACATAACTCACAGGGCTTGGTCTTTCTGTGCTGGTCCCCTCCCCTGCTTTAGGATTGGCTGCCCATGATGCACCTGTGACCAGCGTCAGGCAAAATGGTAATAGCCCTGCTCCTAGAAAGCAGGCAGCACTGCAGGATGCCCTTCCACCCCCAGATTCTTCTCCAGGGAGGGAAGTGGGGACCCAACTCCCACCCACCCCAGAGCACTCAACAATAAATAAATAAACAAAATAAAGTAAAATAATAATCATAAAAAAATCCCAGTCTCTGAGAGAGGCCCTAGGTTGGAAGCACTCCCTCCCACCCCACGTCTGTCCTCACCTCATCGTAAAATATGCAGGCGTGTTTCCCGGACACGTAGTTACAGTGACCATAGTTTGTAAGGCACACATCCATGTCAGCTCCTACAAGGTGGCAAGAGTAGAGGAAAAGGAAGGCAGAGAACAGTCTGTAAGGTGTACGTGTGGGACAGGTGAGGGAGAGAGGAAGGTAACTTTTGTATAGGTACCAGTAGAGATGCCAAGGGGAGGAAAGGCTCAGGGCCCTCTCCTCATACTTTTGAACAAAACTGATGTCTCTTCCACTCTCCTGCCAGCGGATCTGCTTCTGAATATATGGCTGCTACCCAGAGGGGCAAAGTGAGCTACCGAAGAGAACACAACACGGGAGTATCATTTCTGTTTGGGGATTAGGGCTAATTTGTCTGCCTCGTGTGCCAGCTGTGGGGCCAGGTATGTGTGAGCTGATGGCTTCTGCAAAGACCCCAGGGACAGGCATTTGCCCTCTCCTCAGTCTCTTCCTATAGTGTTTATAGGAGATACTACACTGTACTCAGATAAAGCCAAAGAGCCTGAGCCAGGGAAGTGCTTTATTAGTCCTCTTATTTGGTCATCCATCGGGTTACACCAGTCACCTTGGCAAAGGGCTTCTCTCACCCTTTTCTAGGCGTGTCAATCTTTTAAAGGCCCAGACAAATTCAGGCCATAATCCCAGCTTCCTGGCTGGCTCACCTGTCCCGATGTAGAGGGTTCGATAGCACATGTTCACAGCTCCTCCCAGCCCCAAGAGGGGGTAGAACACAGCTCGGGCCTGTACCTCCTTTCTTTGTACTGTAAGACAAACACAGAGACAAAATAAGTCAGAAAGAAAGAACCTGTGATGCAAACAGTAATCAACAAAAGCTAGACCTTTGGTTCAGGGCCTGGGGAAAATCCCACTGAACGACTCATTTTTCCAAACTCATGCCTGACACAGAACCATTTTAAGGTAAGGTTCTTTCTCTTCCCACTCATGTCATTCCCAACATGGTTGTCGAGGGAATTATCTTTGAGGATGGTCATGCAATTCATGGACAGCAGTATTTAAGCTCCTAGGATATGGGTTGGCCATATCCTTTGGGATATGAGATATATGGGATATCTCAGTGGGCATTACACAGACAACACAGGGGAAGGCAAAGATTAGTAGTTCTCAAATTTAATGTGCAAAGAAACCACCTAGGGCTTGTTAAAATGCAGCTCCGAGTCAGCTAGTCTAGGTGGGCCTGCGTTCTGCATTATTAATAAGCTTTCAAATGATGCAAACGTTGCTGCTCTAATGATCAGGCTTTGAAGAAGCAAGGCTCTAGGAAACTAACGTTTAGAGATATCCACGCAGAGTTAATCATCTGGGAAGAATTTCTAGGAGCCTAGCCTGCTTGTTATTCTACTTGACCTTCTAAAGTTCCCTCTTGAGCAATCCTTCTAATTGAAATATTTGAAAGCAACTCATCAGAAAGCACACCACATATACCCAAAGGTATGGGCAGCTGCTCAGCTGTCTTGAAATGGACTCGTATGAAAGTAAGTTACTTTCCAGTGTGATCTGCCATCTTGTTCCTGCTCTGTGGGAGGTAGGATGGTGGGCTTTACTGAACCATTCCAAGGCACACAAAGAGATATGAGATACTAGAAGCTGAGTTTCTCTATGGAAGTAGGTGGCTAACCACACACAGAGGGGAGAGTTGGCAGTTTACTGGCAGGTGTGTGCATGCGCACCTTCTGTGTGGTGCCCTCCGGAAGCCAGTGGATGTGTTCCGACACTGCCTGGTGAAGTTTGGACCCGGGAAGGGAAAAGCTGATGTATTCTCTGCAAGGCCAGAAACTTGATCAGCTTCTCGTCCAGCATATTTATCTCGATTTCTATTAATCAAAGAAAAAGATTAAAAAGCAGCTGAGGTGGAAATGGAATATGGAAATAATTAAAAGTCACAGAGCAAACAGTTCAGCACTTCTGAAATTCAGCCACATGGCACTGAATACAGAGTCAGGCATCTCGCCACATGACTTCAAGTAAACTGGTCCTAGAAAGGCAGAGCAAAAGAAACCACTTGCCTGTCTAAAGGGACAGGCTGGTTGTCTGGCTTTGAGACTTGGGTTTCTATCCACTCTCCTCTGTTCACAGAGGTCAAGATCTGTCCCCGTTCTCCTTGACTTTGGGGGTTTCCCAGAGATGATTCCTCGACTTAGAGAAGGAAGCTCCTGGTTTTGTTCTGAAGGCCAGGCGATCTGCTAAAGTGACTTTGTTCTTTGTTTTCTGGTTCGTCTTGGCTCTGTTGACTCCCTTACAGATACATGCATGTGCAGAAGACAGAACTAGCTTTCTTAATCCAATTTTCTACCCAAAGTGATACTCCACACACAAGCCCCCATGCCCTAGTCCCTTGAGATCAGGTGTTCATCCCTTTCCTTCCTCTCTGAAATGAACCACCAGACAGACAGGGATGGCCCCGACACCACAGCAGCCGGCAGGACAGAAGCAGCTCACTTACTCACCTCCGTTGACATCCATAAATGCTCGAAGTGAGTTGGTGAGGTCCACCATGGCAGTAGAGTTGGCTGGGAAAGAGGGTACGGTTAAAGCGCTTCCTATGGATAACGTGCCGGGGCTGACCTTGCCATCTGGGGACGGAGCAGGAAAACTTGTTACTTACGTCGCCCGAGGGAAACCCACTGATCCAATCCCCCACTGCTGAGACAGGTCTGGATTTCGGACCAAAGGTGACGTTCCCTTCTTGATTCTCAACTCATAGGCTCTGGAACTCCTAGAGCTAAAAACGTGTGGTGAGGAAGGGCAGATGGAACGACAATGCACCTGGGCACGCAGCAGTCTCCAGAGCAGAGAGCCACTGCAATGCACTGTTCTGGGAAAGTGGTGGGGCAGCTTCATTTTCTGGGCCTGGTCACCTCCCTGCTGCCTCTATCTTATATCCTACCTATTGAAGAAGTCTGACTCAGTGTGCAAAATCTATCCATGGTGGTAGTAAAAGATATAGACAGGAAAATAGCCTGAGAGCAGGGCCATCCTGGGACCAGGAGACCCCATGCAGAGAAATCAGTCACCTGATTACCCAGACTCCCAGCTGACTAGGAGGCTGACTTCAGTTCAGATGGGAGACCACAGGGGATTTCAGCAGTATCTGAAACTTGGTTCAGACGCTGGGGGTCAGTAACTTTGGGGTCGCAAGAGGTTGCTAGGGGAAGGTAGGCAAGCAGGCCCCTATTCATCTAAGTACTTAACGGATGGCCCTTTGGGATGGAGTCTGAGAGCAAATTTCTAGGCCAGACCAACCCCAGTGGGCATCCCACTCAGCAGCTACTATATAAGACAGTGCTACTTGTTGTCCCCGTTTCCGATATGGTAGCTTCTCAAATGAGCTAGCTCCAGTCTTACGTGGAACATAAAATTGTAAGGCTGTCACTTAGACATTGGTGATCCAGAGAGCATGCACTACTTCTGAAGATGACATAACAAAACAAGTAGAAGCATATGGCCTGGAAGGTGGGAGGAATCAGGACATCCAGGTTGTAGTTCCAATCCTGCCGCTGACTTTGTAGGTCACAGTTAAGGAAATCATTTGAGCTCTCAGGGCCTAAGCACTCCCATCTTTAAATTGGGACAGGTTCACACATGCTTTCTCTTCTATTACACAAACAGGGTGGGGAGAACACAAACAATAGAGATCACAATCCTATACGGCCAGCACTGTGCCATAGAGGGTCAAGTCAGCATTTGTGATACTGGTGTCCTGTATTAGGAGTACTGATTTGAGTTCTGGCTACTCTCTTCCAAGCTAGCTTCCTACTAATGTGCCTGGGAAGGCAGTGGTGGATGGCCCAAGTATTTGGGTCCCTACCACCCATATGGGAAACCTGGACGGAATTTGTGGTTCTTAGCTTTGGCCTGGTCCACAGCAGGCTATTGTGGCCATTTGGGGAATGAACTAGCGGATGAAAACTATGTCTCTCCCTTTCTCTGATACTCTGCATTTAAAATAAATAAATAAATAAATCTCAAAAGAAAAAAAAAAAAGTCCTGTGCAATATTCACAGGAGTGTAAGTACTTTAGAAATTTTAAGTCTTACTTGCTGGGCAGAATGTAAAATATCAAAATCACCCCAGCCTAAGCAGCACTCACCTGATGATGGCGCTGGTGAGCAGAATCGCTGGTTGGCTCCTGTGGCCAAGATCCCATCTCCTGCTGCTTGAGGGGGAGTAAGCACCCGGGTGGCATTTTGGGGTGATCCCAGTGGCCTTGAATCTGTCAACGGAGGTCCTATCTGTGGTTGGACAGTCTTTCTTTGCAAAGTGCTGGTGTTCTCAATGCTGGCACAAGAGCTAGGAATGGAAGGGGGCAGGCTTGGGACAGGAACCAAACTCCTCTGGGGGCAAGAGCTAGGGCCAGTGGCATTCTCTGTCTTCACAATGATGCCGACGGTGTGGTTCGGAAGCCCCCCAGCCGCTGGTGGCGTGAGGGGCCGGGGCCAGCCTTGCCGGTGTGAGAAGCTTGGTAGGGGGGTGCTGGCGCCTGGAAGTCGCCGGGGGTCCGTGGAATCAGTGGGGCTGTTGTAGAGGTGAGGACCATTGGCTTTCACCTCTGTGTTCACTGGCCCATTGGCAGTCCCACAAGGGGCTTTCTTGGATTTTTCCGCACAAGAACTGCAGCTGATGTCCTCTAGGGCTGAGGGCTGGTGGGGTGGAGAGCAGCTCATGGAGTTTTGGGTGCTAAACCCTGAGGGGCAGGACAAAGGGTAGTGGGCAGCTGTAGGTGCCTTGTCAGCTGTTTGCAGGGAAGTGGTGATTGAGCTGTCAGTCACAATAACAGGCTTAATATCAGCCTTCTCTGTCTGTTCAGAGTCCCACTGCGAAGGCATCTGCTTAGCAGATAAATGTTTCAATATGCTGCACTGGAGCGCAACAACACTACAGAGCCACTGCAATGGAAGGAGAGGAGAGGATGGTGAGAGGCCTGGGAGGCGCTGATCCTTCCCGCCACAGCAGAGCCGACAAGCACTGTTTCCGAGGTCCCGTGGTCAATGCCCAGAAGGGGTGTGCTTGACTCCTGATAGGATTCCATTTCCTTTCCCAAGCAAGACTTGTTGGTACCGTCAGCAGGCAAACCTGGTCAGCAGAGCGTGGGATTTGCACTTGGGCTCTGTCCCTAAGGCTCACCTTGTGACCAATATTCAGCAAGAACCCTAGACACTTGTTGCGGTCCAGCATCATCGCCTCACCTATCTACAAGAGCTACTCGTCTCTTTCTACAACACAGATGTGCCCATCTGATAGTGTACTGGGACCGATGGAGAGAAGCAGACCGTTGACTGTAGTTCTGTCTTACTTGCCTTTGGGATCTGAGCCAGTGGTTGTCTGTGGAACATTTACTGGGGGATAAGGGCAGGGGTTGGAGGTATGGAGATGGGAACAATACTGAGGCTACTTTCAACACCAGCTGTGTGAGATGGCAGAAGACTGATTTGGAACCCAGCCCTGTCCTGTCTTCACTCACCTCTTGTTGCTCTGCCTGGGTAGCTAAGTGCTCAGAGTTCAAAAGGTGCGTCTGTGATTCCTCAGGGATCCCATTGCAGATCAGCTCCCCATCCCGAATGGCCGCGGGTGCAATGAGAGGGGGTGGAAACTGGTACTGAGATTTTATAGCATCAGGAACCTGTTTAGGATGGACAGAGGGAAGGAAGGAAGGATGAAATGCCAACATGTGCAGGTGCTTCTGCCCTACTACACTGCTCTGTGGTCCTGTACCCAAGGAACCATCTACTGAGGACAAGGAGGCCATGTATGCCACAGCTTGGCTGAGTCCCCTGTCTCTGTGACTGACACATGCACTGGACTGAAAAGGCACAGGCATGAAACTTGGAGCCCCCTAGTTTCTTTTTCAAGAACTAAGGACTGCAGACCCCAGACACCATTGTCACTTCTCTTCTGCATCAGCCTAAAAACATCTGACTGGACAGGGCTTCAGAGTGGTATTCTAGGTTCTTATTGCTTAGAGTCAGGTATGGGAGATGGGTAAGCAATCACTGAAAGAGATGCTAAATGAGGTCTATTCATGGTGAAATGCATGGCACGAGGTCTCACTCTAGCTATGCATGCAATCAAATGATAGCTTTCTTCATCATTCATTCAAGACGCATGAAACAACGGAAGACCTCTTTTTTGGACAGACAGAAGATCTTCTTTGAATCATAGCATGCAAGAATGAAAGAGTCACACAAGCCAAGAGTCATTCATACATTCGACCAACATTTATTGAACACCACTTCCTCAGTCGGGGCTCTGTTTCAAGTCCTAGAGATCCAGAGGTAAACAAAATTCAAGCCCTGCCCTCAAGGAGCTCACAGTCTAGTGGAGAGAAAATGGAAATACTGTTCTATTCTATAGCAATAGAGGAGCAGGTGCTTAGCCTACAAGTTAAGAAGTCTCACGAGTAGGAGTAGTCTAGGTTCCTGACTCCAGCTTTCTCCTATGAGGCTGTGTGCGGCAGTGCTGACTTAGGTAGTTGGGTTCCTATTACCCACATAGGAGATAAGCCTTAGCTCCTAGCTCCCAGTTTTATAATGACTTCATTCCTGCTATTATAGGCACTTGGGGAAACTGGACCAGCAGACCAGGGACTCTGTCACAAACAAACCCATAAAGGTGTGAGTGTTTATTTTAATTTGGCGGCCAGGAAATATGATTATAGAAGATTTTATAGGAAGTAATTATTTGAGCAAATCTTGGAGGTTGAAAAGGAAGCTGGCAGACATGGAAGAAACAAGAGAAGGAGAGGAAAACATACAGCCCAGCACTGTGAAGTAAGCGAATTTGGACAACATCCAGTGAACCAATAGATTTGGTGACCAGGTCCTTTTAGAAGAAAGGAGCTAAAAATGGTTTCTAAGATTTTAGACTTGTGGGACTGGGCAGAGATCACAGTCATTAACCGAAACAGCTAACATAGGAAGAACTAATATGGAAAGGTGGAAGACTTTTAGTCTTGGGCAGATTGATACTGAGGTAGCTGTAGGATAAGCACACCAGATATGAGGAGAAAACCACCGAATACAGAATTCAGAGTCATCTCCCTGCATTAGCCAGTGCAATGCTTTTTTGGAGATCACCAGGAATGCAGCAGTTGGCTAGTTTAAGGTTGTCCCCATGCCATTGCCTGACAAGAGTGAAGAAATAGGTGGAACAAAAATCTACAACACAGACATCAAGTTTTCAGCAAGGAAAAAGGTTAATGCTCTGGAGAGAGCTGGGGTTCACTGCTGTCCTATGGTGCTCCAGTTCTCATTTCAATCTCCAAGTGCAAAATGCTTTCCAGAGAGCTGATGCCCTTGGATTTTCCTCACAATAGCAAAAATACTTTACAAATGCGTGTTCCTGTTCTACATGGTACATGACACTCTGGGTTGCTTTTCAATCTGTTTGAGACAGGAGATATATCACCTCTAATATTCCTTACATTCAACTAAAAACACTTTACTTTTTAGAAGATCTGTGTTTCCACTGAAGTATAAATATTTACTCAGGAAAGAGTTTGTTATACAATTTTCAACAAATAGCATCTTGCTAGAGCCAACACCCTCTGGGGGTGATGGGAGTGGTGCGATTGATTTCATAGTGTGGCTGCCACCAAGTGGCCATATTTCAGAATTACTGATTTCTGTTGGCACAGAGGATTATCAGATCAATTAAGAGAAAAATGAGTTTATATTTGGGTACACAGTGATGGGCTAAATTAAATGAATGAGGCAACTGAACATCACCAAATGTGATCCTCAACATCACTAAGTTATTCAATGAAGGACATTTTTCTGTTAATTTTTGTGGCCACTCTCAAGCAACTATCATACACAAATGTTGGATATTATATCAACACTGCAATTTAGGCTACTGGTTATATAACATCATTTTGATGATGTAATTGGTTATAGTTTAAAAAATTTTTCCTTTAGATATTTTCCTCTTAAGCTATTTAGCTATGAGCAGCTCCTCATTTTTCATGTAGCACTCTCTGCTTAAGCAGTCCCATTTTTAGCTAACCAGATAGTTCTGAGACAGACATCTCACGAGCAGAGATGGGATGTGTCAGGCAGCAGGAGCAGCACTAACAGAGCACTTACCCTTCAGAGCACTAGAAACTGGCAGACTTTCAAGGCTGACTAGGGGCTGGCCTCCATAATCATCACCACTACCAGCTAGTACTAAAACATAAGTACTTGCCAAGGCACCACACACATCTCCAGGGGTTCAGTCTCTCCTTATCTATAAAACTGGGACAATTCTTTGTCTATCCCACAAAGGCCCAGTGACCACTATCCTTCCATTGGCACCAAGCTGTATCTCACCTTCAAACTTCTTCTTTTGACAGACTGGAGCACACGGCGATTAGGAGGGTGTTTCTTATGGATTCGGTTCAGGAAGTCCACTTTGACAACGTGCTGTGAAATGGTGTCCTGGAAACGATCAAATACCTGACACCGATTACTCAGTGTCATATTCTTCTGGTTCAGCTGGGGACAAAGCAAACACAACCATGTGATGAGGCTTGAAAGCCAACCCTATCTAGCTAACCCTATTCTCTGGGGTTAAAAAATATGCTTAGGGCAGTGCTGAGCTGGAGGAAATAAAGCTGGCACCTTCAGGGCAGCATCCCATATGGGTACCCAAATGGCTGTTCCACTTCTAATCCAGCTCCCTGCTAATGTGCTGGGAAAGCAGCAGAGGCTGGCCCAAGTGCTTGGGACTCTACACAGGAGATCTGGCAGAAACTCCAGGCTCCAGAATTTGGACTTGCCCAGCTCTGACTGTTGTAGCCACTTAGGGAATGAGCCAGTGATGGAAAATCTCTCTTTTCTCCCTTTCAATAGAAAAGCAAATAAATACTAAAAAAAAAAAAAAAAAAAAAAAAGAGAGAGAGAGAGAGAGAGAGAGAAAGAAAGCAGATGTCCTTTGCCAAATGGGTTCCAATCAGGGGACAGGATGTCAACACTCCTGTCAGAAGGCCAGGACCATGGCTGAGAATCTGTCCTCCCTATTCAGTGGAGTGGTTCACATTCCTGTTCCCTAGAGGGATTTGAGGGACAGAAATGAAATTCTGCTTTAGCACAGAGCATCCTTTGTCTGGGGACCCTAAGAGTAGCAAAAGTTTCAGAAGACACACACACATGCTTTGGCCCTCAAGAAACCCAGATTCCCTTTCAAACAAAAGGGACTCTGACAGGAAGCAGAACTGTGTTCTACACAGGGGCATAGCTGAGTGCTGGGTCAGCACTATCCTGTGTGTCCTGCCTTATTCGTAGTCTATGATACCCTGGCTTTTCAGTTAACACACTTTTTGTTGTTCATTTTTTTTTTTTAATTGGAAAGGCAGATCAGATTTAGAGAGAAAGAGAGATATTAAGAAATAACTTCCATCCGCTGGCTCACTCCCCAAGTGGCCATAACAGCTGGAGCTGAGCTGATCTGAAGCCAGGAGCCAGGAGCTTCTTCCAGGTCTCCCATGTAGATGCAGGGTCCTAAGGACTTGGCCCATTCTTTACTGCTTTCCCAGACCATAAGCAGGTAGCTGGATGGGAAGTGAAACTGTTGGGACATGAACCAGTGCCCAAATAGGATCCTGGCACTTGCTAGGCAAGGATTTAGCCATTGAGCCATTATACCAGGGCCCAGTGAATCCATCTTAATATCACAGTCTTCTATGGGGCAGTGTGGGGGAGTAGTGAGCTCGGAAGACTATTAGAGGCCAAATGGAGGGAAGTAAATAGAATTCCTGCAATTACATATGCAAGGCATATTGAAAATATGGCCCCTCTTCTCTTACATAGCTATCTATATACTTTCACCACCCACTCCAAAAAAATGTTTTACAGAGAGGGGAGGGAGGGAAGGAGGGAAGGAAGGAGAGATCTTCCCTTCACTGGTTCATTTCCCAAATGGCTACAACAGCTGGAGCTGGGCTGGTTCAAGTCAGGAGCCAAGAGCTTCTTCTGGGTCTCCCCTGTGGATGCCAGGTCCAAAGCACTTGGGCCATTCTCTGCTGCTTTCCAAGGCACATTAGCAGGGAGCTGGATCAGAAGTGGATCATCTAGGATTTGAATCAGTGCCCATGTGGAATGCCAGCACTGCAGGTGGAAGCTTAACCTATGCGATGATGCTGGCCTCGATCTACATATTTTAATTTAAAAGAAAAGAAGGATCTGTTGTGGTAGCTTCCTAATTAGTAAATTAGGTCAAACATTTAAATGGCTAGCAAAAAAAAAAAAAGCCAACTAATAATTTCTCAAAGCTGGAACAATGTAGTTTAAAACTTATATTTGGGGACTGTGATGCAATAGGGCTAAGCCTCTATTTGTACTACTATATGTCAGAGCGCAGGTTCAGGTTCTGGCTGCTCTACTTCTGATCCAGCTTTCTGCTAATGATCCTAGAAAGGCAGCAAATAATGGTCCAAGAGCTTGGGTTCCTGTTGCCTATGGTGAGATACAAGGATGGAACTTTCAGTTCCTTGCTTCAGCTAAGAACAGCCTTGGCTGTTGTGGCCATTAGGATAGTTGAGCAGTAAATGAATAGTTCTTTCTGTAACTGCCTGTCAAGTAAAAATAAAACCTGGGACCCAGTGCAGTAGCCTAGTGGCTAAAGTCCTCACCTTGCACACCTGGAATCCTATATTGGTGCTGGTTCGTGTCCCTGCTGCTCTACTTCCCATCCAGCCCCCCGCGTGTCGCCTGGAAAAGCAGCTGAGGATGGGCCAAGTCCTTGGGACCCTGTAACCGTGCGAGGACCTGGAAGAAGCTCCTGGCTCCTGGCTTTGAATTGGCTTAGCTCCGGCTGTTGGGGAGTGAGCCAGCAGATAGAAAATCTTTCTCTCTGTACTTCCCCCTCTCCGTGTATCTACCTTCCCAATAAAAATAAATACGTCTTTAAAAATAAATACATAAAGACAGCTAGTATTGTCGGCAACGGAGTTAAGATTCTACTTGGATGCTGGCATCCCCTGGTTGCTGTGCTTGGTTTAGCCCCCTCCCAACTTTCCTTAGAAGACAGCTGAGCATGGTTCAAGTGCTCAAGCGGATGCTACCTATATGGGAGCTCAGCCCGTAGTTCCTTACTCCTACCTTCAGCCTGCTCCAGCCCTGGTTTTTATTGGCACTCAGGGAGTGAGCTAGTGGATGGAAGACCCAGCTCTCCTAGTTTGTCTATAGTATTCTGCTTCTCAACCTAAAAAAAAAAAATCTTTCAAAACAAAACACTTCATATTTGAGTCAATTGCTACAATAACTTTCTTTCTGGCTCAGCAGGAAGCAAAACGAAACACTGAGTCTCAGAGAGAAGCTTCCTCCTAGATAACCTTTCTCAATGGCTGAGGCAAAATAATACTAGGTAACTTCTCTTTCAAGTGTGTGGAGTCAAATAACACTATGTAGCTCGTATGTTCCCTACATGTGTAACTTTTTTTTAAAAAAAAGATTTATTTTATTTTTATTGGAAAGGCGGATATACAGAAAGGAGAGAGACAGAGAGGAAGATCTTCCGTCCGATGATTCACTCCCCAAGTGAGAGCAATGGTCGATGCTATGCCGATCCGAAGCCAGGAGCCTCTTCCGGGTCTCCCACGCAGGTGCATGGGCCCAAAGCTTTGGGCCGTCCTCGACTGCTTTCCCAGGCCACAGGCAGGGAGCTGGATGGGAAGCGGGGCTGCTGGGATTAGAACCGGCGCCCATATGGGAACCTGGGCATGCAAGGTGAGGACCTTAACCACTGCGCCATCACGCCGGGCCCCATGTGTAACTTTTTAAACTGAGGATGGCCTGGGAATACACACAGTCATCCCACAGTGATCATTTTTGACAGATAATGCTGTAATCTTTTTCATTCAGAAAGGCTGTGCTTAGGAAGAAATGTCCCCAGAGCCTCTATTTTGGACCCTGTTAGAGAATAGCCTAATTGCCTCTAGCAGGGTTATAAACCTCCTCTGATGCTGGTAAATGATGCTTCCTTTTAGCCGTGGAAGCAGTCCCTGGACTGCCCAGAGAGAAGGCAACAGGACCCTCTCACAGCATCCACTGATGTAACTCTTACATGCCGCCATCCAAAGGTGGGACAGGGAACTGACATAGTCAACCATGTATTTACTCAAAAAGTTGGATCTAATAAGCTCTATTTAAGGGCTATATCATCAACTATCTAATATTCTGGGAGAAATTATTCAAAAACAAGTATTAGTGGTTATGTTTGCCTATGCAAGCTAATAGCACAAGGCATTATGGGGAAAGGCAAAATAAACAGCTGAGTTCTGTCAAAACAATCAGAACCGAGTAGGATGGTCTGCAGAAGTGGGCATCTGCGGGATTATCATGAACTCTGGCACAAGGCTGACCTTAATATTAAGCTTTCTACCTAGTCAGTTCATACTGCAGCTGAGCCTGCAGGGGACTGAATGGCCACTGCTGTGCTTACCACCACATGTTCGATGTGATTTGGACACATCCATCTGCCCAGGGGCATGGCAGTGAGCGGTGGCTCGAGGCAGTCCATGTGAAACAGGAGGGGGCAATAATCACACTGGATAAGAGGGGCCACACGGCAACTCCTGCAAAAAAGAGACGTAGGCCATTTCTGTGGCAAGATGGGAAAACACACACTCATTTCCCTCATTACTCTTAAAACACTGCATCATATCACACCCCCCAACCAACCATTCAGTTTCATTCACAATGAGGAAGGAGAGGAAGCTACCATAGCTCTCTTTTCTAGGCATGCCTCTGCAGAAGTGGATGTTTATTTGGAATATGGGAAAGTAGTTGTCAGAGCAGAATGATCAATGCCCAACAGAATGCTTTCCTGGGGGAAAGCAGATAACTCTATTCTGATCTATTTACTTAAGAGAGTGATTACCTTTCTTAAAAAAAAAATCACTAGAAAATTTCCACAATCTTAACTACAGGGGAGAAGAAAAATTCTGCCTGAAGCTATTGGAAGAGCTGACAAATACTTACAAGTGTGCTGGGAAAATGGTTTTGTAATGTATTCAAGTAAACATAGTTCAAGGGATGCTTAAACAGTATGATTTGCAACAATACTCCTTGGGTCCCTGAGGTGTATGTACTAAAGACACAGGGTTCTACTTTAGTTCTCTACAACTTCTGCCATATAAGATTTTTTTTGATGGCTCCTTTTTCCTGCTGTCTTGTTCTGACCAAAACACAGTCCTTCTACCACATCCAAGCCAACAAGTCCTGCTTTGGTAATTGAAGTGGCTGGTTTCTGTCACTGAGGAGATCCTATTTGAAGGAAACCAGTGTCCCAGGGAGGAAACAACTGGGGCAGTCCAGGAGCTTCTGGAAGGCGTCCAATGCTACACACACTGACTTCCATGGAAACTTGTACTACTTTTAAACTTATCTTCATGATTTGAAAATGTTTTCCTTTTTCCAAAGACTTATGTCCCTACTGACCAGAATCCTTCCTGCTAGCTAGTCTAAATATCTCATGCCTCAATCTGAATCTAATTCCTCTCTAGCTTTTATCATCAGAGTTAACACATGTCTTCTGCAGTTCTTTAGGGACTGTGTTGCTAACACAGGCAGTGAGTCAGTCTCTCAGGTGCTCATCAGAATGAATAGGAATGTCCAAATTTAACACATATGGTTTGGAAGAGTTAATGTAAAGAGAGAGAGAGACACACACAAGAGAGAAATGCCATTTGCCACATATGAGGAACAGTCCCTTGGTGCCAAAGAAAATACCTGTTACACGTGAAACAGACTTTGACCGGTAAAGGAACAAGACCATTGTGATCTAACTCATGCTGGGTCTTCTTAACATTTTTCCCTGTGGTTTCCTCTTTTCTTCTCCTCTTGCTAGAACCTGGAAGAGAAATCAGTGGTGCTGAATTATTCCTGGCTTCAGAGCTCCCAGCCTGGGATACAGAAACAGAATAAAAGGAACACACTATGGCCTAGACATGGAGTTTTTCCTGAGGCCTCTGGGGCTAGTTAAAGCAGGAGGTGGGGGTTGGGAGAGGAAGAGAGAGTGACTGAGAAGGGGTGGAGAGGAGTAGACTGAGACCAAAGTTAGAGCTGTGATAGGAAGTCACCTCTGAGGCAGAAACACTCCTCCCCGTTTCACGAACATTAAGCGGTCAGAATGTTAGGTTAGATCCTGGCAAATCAAGAACTGCAAATGTCCAGTTTAAAAGGTCCAAAGACTATCCTGTGGGGCTGGCTGGGGAAGAGGTCACAATTGCTTCTAAGTCAACCAATTTTTTAAAAACAGATTTATTTTATTTTCATTACAAAGTCAGATATACAGAGAGGAGGAGAGACAAAGAGGAAGATCTTCTGTCTGATGGTTCACTCCCCAAGTGAGCGCAACAGCTGGTGCTGCACTGATCTGAAGCCAGGAGCCAGGAATTTCCTCCAGGTCTCCCACACGGGTACAGGGTCCCGAGGCTTTTGGGCCGTCCTCAACTGCATTCCAAGGCCACAAGCAGGGAGCTGGATGGGAAGTGGAGCTGCCGGGATTAGAACCAGCGCCCATATGGGATCCCGGCACATTCAAGGCGAGGACTTTAGCCATGAGGCCACACTGCCGGGCCCAACCAATTTTTATCTAGCAATTCTAGTGGGAATTTAAACACACATCTATACATGTGTACAGTGATATATATATTCAGTTACTTGTTTAAGCACTTCTTATAGTAACAAAAAGATTAAATTATAGCACATCTGTATAATAGATTACTATGCAACCGTTAAATCACAACAACAAAACAGAACATTTCACACTGTTATGGAAATATCTGTAAAGCATATTATGAAGTAAAAAAAAAACCAAGATATAAAACAGTGTAGCTGGTATGTTGCACCAGGTTAAACTAAAAGCATGTCTTCATTTACTTATATAGGCACCAAAAAATTCTGGGAGGTTACAGAAACATAAACCAGTGGTTATCTGTGAAAGGCAGGATGGAAGAAATTAGGCAAGTGGCAGACAGAGATGGGAAGGAAAATTTTCCCTGTAAGGCTTTTTTATATTTTTAAACTTTTGAATCATTTGACTCTAGTACCTAGTTTAAGCAGAAAATATTAGGGTCTGGCACAGTAGCCTAGTGGTTAAAGTCCTTGCCTTGTACGTGCTGGTATCCCATATGGGTGCCAGTTCATGTTCAGTTTGCTCCATTTCCCATTCAGCTTCTTGCTGGTGACCTGGGAAAGCAGTGGAGGACAGCCCAAAGCCTTGGGACCCTAAACCTGCTAGGGAGACCTGGAAGAGCTCCTGGCTTCAGATTGGTTCAGCTTTAGTCATTGCTTGGGGAGTGAATCAACGGACGGAAGATCTTCCTCTCTACATATCTGACTTTCCAATTAAAAAAAAAGAAGAAGAAGAGGAAGAGGAATAATAATAACACACTAGAAAGGGGCAGGAATGGAGTTGAGACTCAGAAAATGGAAAAAATGAATATATGCTGCAGTAGTTGAAACTGTCAAAGATTTCTCCAGGCATAACTGGGAGCCTGAAACAGTGGCTCCACTAGTACTGCTCTTCTGCTAGACGGCAATCTTTGCGGGAGGCGAGTGGAAGGAAGAGATATGGTGATGTTTAGCTAACCTGGTAGCGCAGTGGTACAAGTCAGTTCATTGGGTAACTGAAACTGGGTGGGATTCCGCTCCATGGCGGCAGCAATCAGCAGCTCAAAAGGCCGCCTCAGCTGTGGCTGCACATAGTCTGGTTCTGCTGCAACTGGCTCCTCGTCCACATCAATGATGTCCTCATCAACGTCATTCTGCTCGGAGGTGGGGGTCTCTGTGCTGGCGTTGGATGTAGGCGTACCAGGCCGGCTGGCTCTTCTTTCCATGATCCGGGCATGTGCAATGGCCTTGAGTTCAGTTTTGCTAGCTGATCTGTCCAACAGGTCAGTATCACTGCTAGGGGATGTAGTCCGTTTGCCAGATTTGTCTACCAGTCCATTGACATGGCCTAGCTCCTTTTTCTGCTCTCGTTTCTGTGCAAATGAAAAGGCAAGTCCATCACAAAAAGTGCCACAAAATAGAAAGAGATGGCTACTACAAAATCCTGCTAGACCACTAGCCAAGATGACCTAAATCTCATACTTATCAGTCATCCATCTGGGGACTTGGAAAACTGGTTTGCTTAAGTTGACACAACTGCACTGAAATAAACCTAAGAAAACTTCTGAAGCAGGGAATCACCAAAAAGCATGGAAAATTAGGGATGATTATAAAGATTATACACCATTAACTTTTTACCACATGTCACACACCTTCTAAACACAAAATACAAGGCAAAGAACCAAAAAGTTAACACAGTGAGAATGAATTTAATGAGAAAACAGTAAAGTGAAAAACAGTAAGAGTACCATAGCGAGAATCAATAATTGCTGGGGTTTTCCTTAGAGCATCTTGACCTTCTGAATGATTTTAAAAAATTGGTTCAAAAGAAAAGAAGTTCATGAAAGCAACAGTAAAACGTAAAACAGGCTGAGAGCTACCTATTCAGGGAGGAAAGGAGAGTGCCAACATGTGAAGTGCATTTCAAGGTTGGAGGAGTGGTGTGTGGCAAGGTGCAGCTCTGCAATCATGGGATCAGAGGATAGCAGCTTTCAAAGTTTCAGTTTTAAGGGAACTTGGCAAGTGGCAATTCTTAGAAGGTGAGGAAATAGACTAAATATACTCAACAGTATATTTGGGTGACTGATAATATAATTTCCTATGGGACTCCAAATAGTGTTCAAGTGAAAGTTTAACACTGGTCTCCAGTCAGGAGATCTGTGACTTTGTCCCAGTTCTGTCACTGACTCCTTCTGACCCTGCGTAACTTTGGCCTGACGAGCTGAAATTTCTCTCTATATAATGTCAGACCAGTAAAATCCCATTTATTTTCCTTTTCTCAAAGACATGGTAGAAATAGACAGGTCCATATACATGAAAGCGAGGGTTCAAAATTGGGAGGAACACCTATCCTCCACTCAGAATCACAATAGACCTGAACATCAGTTTGGCCTGAGGATGCATCATTTCAATCCACTTTAGTGAAAATACAGGAGGCCAAAGGGGAGTAGAGGTACTGGTGGAAAAAGCAGATTTGGCACTGGTAGGCAAAGAGGTCCATGTGAAAGCAGGTCAGAGCAGCATCTCAGGAGAATCACCCTATGTTAGAACAAGGCATAGTATAATCCCAGTAAATAGCTCTGCTTCTAGAAAACTTATAACAGAGCTTTGGAATTAGTTCAAATCTTGGCTTTGTCAATGCCTCTGAATCCTTGGAGGAGTTGTTCTACACATCTGAGCCTTAGTCTCTTTCTAATTTGGAGATCTAGGGGTAGGCACTGGTGGAGTGTTTACCATACTGATTGGGATGCCTGCAGCCCACATCAGCTAGTGCGTGTAGGGCCTAGTCCAGCTCCCCTGCTGATGTGAAGGGAATAGGGTGACAACCTAAGTACTTGGGTCCTTGCTAAATCTGGATTGAGTCCCTTGACCCCAGCTTTGACCTAGTCTGGCAGCAGGGGTCCCATCATCTCTGCATTCCAAATAAATAAAAAACAAATAGGACAGAGATCCTGGACTGGCACACTCTGAAAGTTGCATGGATTAAACCTGGCATATGATGGGAACTAACCCAACATAAATTACATTTCTCTAGCTTCTTTTCCTGGTTTTACCACTTCTCCTTCCCCTCGTCTTGACCCTTTCAGGCCCAGTTTCTTTTGAGTGCCAAGTTTCTTAAAAGTCCATAACTGGCAGGTGCCTCTAACTGTCCTGTTCTAAACTAATTGGGAATATATAGTAATAATCTTGGAAAACATAACAACCTGGTTTGTGAACTTTAGGAGAAATCAAACTAAAGCTGTGATTAGGTGGCTGACTTGACTTTGGCTTGCTTTCTATTAGGAATCCTTGTGCATATATTTGAAATATGTCTAATTGTTTACCTTCTTCTCAAATGCCAAAAACTGTGCACACTCAAACCACAATCTCTGAATCATCTCATCCTGTTTCTGCAACCAAGGAAGTCATCATGCATTGTGACATCATGTTCTGGGGCCAGGAAACAGAGGTGATGTCACAAGAAAGGAGAGTGGGTTGGTGTGTAATTAGCAGGAGAAAGAAGAGAGTAGTTTACAATCTAGAGAAAATTCTAACCCACAGCTGATAATTTGAGGTCAATCATTACCTGAGTAGAAATAACCTTACTTCCTAAGAACTGAGCTCTTACACCCCACAGCAATTCTCAAAGTAGGAAATAATGAACAACATTCTTTAAAAAAAAAAAAAAAGTACAGAATTATCAAAGCTGAGGGAAAGGGAGCTAAAGTTTGATCAGGCTATTTGGGGTACAAAATGTGTTCAGAATCTTCTCTCCTTAATATATGTGGCCAAGTCTATCCAGTAACCTATATGCCTTGGAATGAGAGAAAAATTCTCTTCCTATCAATCTGGAGAAGCAATCTTCTTCTGCCATGAATAAGGCAAATACATGAAAACTCAGACTTCTTGTCACTAATAACTAAATGGAGGATTAAACTAGCACATCTCTTCTGTCTGTTTCAGCAGCCCATGTTCGAATTTTTAAGCCCTATTGGATCCCCAACTTCACAATGGTGAAGTGGAGGTGATTGCAGGGCTAAAAGAGACAGAAGAACTGAAAACACCTTCAGGGCCAGGCTGTCTTAGTTCTAGCATATCAGTGCTCTAGTTTTGACACTCTGAGCAAAGCTTTCAGAAAACAACATCATTACCTTTCGGCGAACAGTACACCGGTGACACATCCACTCTCCAGGCGGCAACATCTCTTCACTCAGTGGAGGGTTACTGCAGAGAAAGACAAGCGCAAGACTAAGAAACTAACCGTTTGATGCAGCATGAAAATGCCTAGCCAGGATTAGTACAAAACTCTGTCTCCAACTCCTGTTTTGACCAGTCTACAGTATTGGAAGGATTCTTTCATTCTTTTTTTCATTGGAAAGGCGGATATACAGAGAGGAGAGACAGAGAGGAAGATCTTCCCTCTGATGATTCATTCCCCAAGTGAGCGCAATGGGCTGATACTATGCCGATCCGAAGCCAGGAGCCTCTTCTGGGTCTCCCACGCGTGTGCAGGGTCCCAAAGCTTTGGGCCGTCCTAGACTGCTTTCCCGGGCCACAGGCAGGGAGCTGGAAGGGAAGCGGGGCTGCCGGGATAGAACCGGCACCCATATGGGATCCCGGGCGTGCAAGGTGAGGACCTTTAACCACTTGCGCCACCGTGCCGGGCCCCATTCTTTAAAATGTTTATTTGGCATCATTTATAATGGTCACAGCAACAAGCAGCATCCCTTTATCACACCCTAAAAAATAGGTCAATCCAGAACTACTATCACTGTACCTACAGGAAAAATTGCAAAGAATTTGAGTCTAGACAATCATTCGTAAATTCTGCATCACTGCTAAATCACATCACCAAAAAGTCCTTTGTATTGTGTTAGAGATAAAGTTCTTCATTTGCTAATCAAGTCAAGTCACAGATGCAAGTTCCCGGGTCCCTTTCAGGTAAGCATCCTCCTACTCAAATTGAGATGGCTATTTCTGGCCTGTCAAAACCTTACTATTCATCCTTTAAAGCCTGCCTCAGTCAGCCTGAGATGAATGAAAGATACCTGCAAATTCTTTGTTTTACCTCCCATCCACAACTGGGATTGCCATGTAGCTTATTTTCACCAACTCTGATAGCAGAGGTGACAGTGTTATAACTTCCAATGCTGGGTCTTAAGGTACCTGTTCATACTTTTCTATGCCCAGAATGTTTCTTCTCATAGCACAACTATAAGTGATGAAATGCCACAGGAGACTTGATTCACTCCAATACTCAGCTTCAGCTGAATTCCAAGCCAATGGACAGCACCAATTAAATACTGCCATGTAAGTCTTGGATACATCAGCTCAGTTGAACTTTCAAATAACAGCAGCTCCAGCCAAGAGCTTGTGGAGCAAAAAACCATCCAGCTGAGCCCTTACAACTGTGAGGTAATAATTAGTTTCTGTTCCAAGTTACTTCGTTTTAGGGAAGTTTGTCATACAGCAACAGAAAAACGAACACAGCCACTCTGTGAGGTCTTTCAAATTACTCATTTATCATAGACTTGTGTATGTTTCAATTCTCTTTTGGCACTTCTCAGGTTTTGCCTTATGAGTCACTTCCTGCATTTTTTTTTTTAAATTAGAGGAACAAAGACAATCATTGGGTCTCTTCCCTTTTTTTTTTTTTAAGATTTATTTATTTTTATTGCAAAGTCAGATAGCCTTAGCGTATCACCCATCCCAGGTCCCGAGGCATGCTCCGAGGGTTCTGCTGAAGCAGTTTTGATAGTTTAACAGTTCTGAATTGTTGCCAATCTCACTGTTCCAATCGCGATGAAATCTATTCAGAATCCACTGGCTGACATAGTCTCTTCATGGTTGGGGTTCTGAGATCAGCAGTTCAGTTGGGGGGCTCTCCAAAGAAACTTCATCTGAGCTAATCCCAGACCTGATTCTTGTGTGTGCTTGCCAGTACAGACAATTTTAATTAATCTGTCATTAATTGTATGGGTTCTCATTACTGAGTGTCCTTTGCACTTTGGCTCTAACCTGATTCCTGAAAAGAAGGAGCATGTCTGAAATCCCAGCATATCCTCTGTGTTAAAATAAGTGTCCCATAAATGTTGAATGAATGAAACACTGGTCTTTTCATCCAAGGTGCTGGGTTTTTGTTTTTGTTTTGTTTATGTGTTCCCTTCATGTAACAGATGATAAATTACTTGCTTTTTGTTTGTCCTCCAATGTGGTGTTCAGTGCATCTGTTAGCAAGCAATGGAAACAAAGTAAATACTCACTGATTTAGAATGAAATGCTTGACCTCAGGGTTAAAAAGAAAAAAAAAAAAGATACCAAATGGACACTGCTCTGTCCTACTTGAAAGGAAGAGCTAGAAGAGACAGAAAGCCACTGATTCATTCCACAAATGCCTACAATACCCAGGGCCATGTCAGGAGCCTAGAGTTCCACTTAGGTCTCCATCCTCGTGGATGATAAGGGCCCAAATACTTCAGTCATTATCTGCTGCTTCCCAGAATTCACTAGCAGGAAACTGGGTTGGGAATGTGATAGCTGAGACCCAAATTGGATCAAAACCCAAGGTAGGATCAAAACCCAATGCATGTCCTAAGCAGTAACCTAACGTGCTGTGTCACAGTGCATATCTCAGGGAACTGCTAAAGGTGCTTAGAAAATCGCTCACACTCAAGATTTGAAAGAACGAGGAAGCTTTAATTTGGATTCTGCTAATTGGCATAAAGTAAGCCTGTTTCTTCACCTGTATGATTTGAGTAAGAATTCATTATGTCTGTGTGATGGTGAAGATAAAACAAGAGCATCTGTTATAATATTTTTTGAACTGTGAAACACTACATGTAAGGGGAAGTCATCAATTTGCTCTTTCTAGGCTTAGGATTAGGAAGAATGTTGATGACAAACAGCATTGTCTCATTACAGTGTTTTCATGGTTTGCACTGATGCACAGCTGAAAATCTGATAGAGTAACCTTAGCATTACCTGGCTCTTTTAATGTTTTTTTCTTTTTGTCTCCCAGATTTATTTTTATTGACAAAGCAGATTTACAGAGACAAAGAGATCTTCCATCTGCTGGTTCATACCCCAAGTGGCCACAGTGGCCAGAGCTGAGCCAATTGAAGCCAGGAGTTTCTTTTAGGCCATCCACATGGGTGCAGAGTCCCAGGCTTGACACAAACCAGCACCCATGTGGGAGACTGTGCTTGGAGTTGGAAGACAAGCCAATTGAGCCATTGCACCCCTCAATGATTTCCTTCTGTAAGGAATGGCCTTTGGGACCAACATCATAGCAATAGCATGCTAAATATCTGCCTATGGAGCTGGCATTCCTTGTGGCTACCAGTTTAAGTCCCAGCTGCTCTATTTCCAGTCCAGCTCCCTGTTAATGTGCTTGGAAAGCAGTAAAACATGGCCAAAGTGCTTGGCCCACTGCACCCATGTGAAAGACCCAGAAAAAGCTCCTGGTTTTGGACTGATCCTGCTATAGCCATTATGGCCTTTTAGAGATTGAGCCAGTGATATCTATCCCTGTCTCTCTGTAAGTGCATTCCAAACAATTTTTTATATCCGCTAGCACCCTACCTTCAAATTGTTTAAAGAGAAATAAAAGAAATTATGGGCAGGGCAATTAAATAAGAAACTGAGGTCTGGGCCCAGTGTTATGGTCCAATTGGCTAATCCTCCTCTTACAAGTGGCAGGATACCATAAGGGTGTTCGTTGATGTCTCAGTTGCTCCAGTTCCCTGCTTACGGCCTGGGAAAGCAGTGGAGGATGGCCCAAAGCCTTGGGAACCTGTATCTGAGTGGGAGACTGGAGGAAGGTCCTGGCTCCAGGCTTTGGATCAATTCAACTCCAGCCATTCTGCCACTGGGGAATGAACCAGCAGATGGAAAATCTCTGTCTCTTTTGCTCCTTTCTGTAAATCTGCCTTTCCAAAAAAATAAATAAATCTTACAGAAAGAAAGAAAAAAAAAAGGAGCAGCAATTGAGGTCTGCAAGTACAAACTTTGATTCTTTCATTTCACTGTTTTGTGATTTAGTGTTTTTTGAGTTCCTTAAAAGCTTTTGAGTATCTAGCACAGGCTTTGTGAGTATCTACCAGGCTTTGTGCAGGGTGCAGAGTTACAGAGGTAAGTTAGGCACGGACAGGTGGATTCAGGGTTACAATGGTTTGGCACAGAAATGCTCCGGTGGAATCATGAGAAAGGTTCCTAGAGAGAACACCTGACTTGAGTCTCAAGTTGAAGGAATAGGGGAAGGGTTGCATGATTATGGGTACCAGCTCTGGAATGAATGAAGACATAGCACTAAAAAACAGTATGGGTAGGGTGGGGAGTCGGCAGACTGAGCTAGGGAGAGAGGCAAATTTCTGGTCACATAGATCTTATTTGCAATATAAAAAAGTTGGAACATAATTTTGTAATGGATACAGAAAGGGCTCCGTTGAAAGCTCTTTGTAGTCAAGAGTGATATAAAAAAACTCGCTCTACCACCAAGTTCAAAAACAGATGGGGTAAGGTCTGAAGGACAGCCCGAGAGACCAGTTACATCTTTTTTTTTTTTTAAGATTTATTTATTTATTGGAAAGTCAGATATACAGAGAGTAGGAGAGACAGAGAGGAAGATCTTCCGTCTGATGATTCACTCCCCAAGTGAGCGCAACGGCCGATGCTATGCCCATCCGAAGTCAGGATCCAGGAATTTCTTCCAGGTATCCCACACGTGGGTGAAGGGGCCCAAAACTTTGGGCCGTCCTCAACTGCTTTCCCATGCCACAAGCAGGGAGCTGGATGGGAAGTGGAACTGCCGGGATTAGAACTGGCGCCCATATGGGATCCCGGCACTCCTTAGGCGACAACTTTAGCTGCTAGGCCACGCTGCCGGGCCCCCATTAACATCTTGATGAAAGATCTCAGTCCATACCTCCCTGCCTTGCTCTTCTCTGCTCTACATGTTTGATGTTGGGTTTCTCAGCACAAAGCCAGAGGCAGAGGAAAAGAAATAAAGAGAAGCAAAATCAGAAGTGACAGCCTTTAAGGTTAATTGTGATTTGACAGCTGCTGAAGCATAGCAGAGTCTGTAGACCTTTGCAGATTACAGGCTTGTGTTTCATTAGGTTTGGTATTGCCTATTGCAGATATATAGTAGAGAAAACTCAGGAAGACTCTGCAGGTGACCATTCACTGGTGGTCCTCCAGAGCTTGGAGACCTGTCTCAGTAGACT